GCACAGAACAGCACAGCACATCAATCAGCACAGAACAGCACAGCACATCAATCAGCACAGCACAGAACAGCACAGCACAGAACAGCACAGCACAGAACAGCACAGCACAGCACAGAACAGCACAGCAATCAGCACAGAACAGCACATCAATCAGCACAGAACAGCACAGCACAGCACAGCACAGCAGCCAGTGACTCAGCAGTTTCCTTGCTCTGATCAGACGCTGAATCCTTTCCTCTCTCACTTGGAAGCAGCGCCACATTAGTCACAGAGATATTAAAGCACCAACACTGGCCTATGCCCATTTCACCTAGAACATAGAACAGTACAACACAGTACAGGCCCTTCGGTTGTGCCGAACTTTTACCCCAAACCTAAGGTCTATCTAACCTGCACCCCCACCTTATACTATCATCCATATGCCTATCTAATAGCCGCTTAAATGCCCCTAATGAGGCCGACTCCACTATCCTCTCCAGCAATGCATTCCACGCCCCTACCACTCTCTGAGTAAAGAACCTACCTCTGACGTCTCCCCTATATCTACCTCCTTTCACTTTAAAACTATGCCCCCTCGTAAAAGCTACCTCCACCCTGGGAAAAAGTCTCTGGCTGTCTACTCTATCTATATCTCAGATGATTTTGTACACCTCTATCAAGTCACCTCTCATCCTTCGTCGTTCTAAAGAGAAAAGCCCTAGCTCTCTCAACCTTTCCTCGTAAGACTTTCCCTCCATTCCAGGCAACATCCTGGTAAATCTCCTCTGCACCTTTTCCAACACCTCCACATCTTTCCTGTAATGAGGTGACCAGAACTGGACACAATACTCCAGATGTGGCCGAACGAGGCTTTTGTATAGCTGGAGCATAACTTCACGGTTCTTGAACTCAATCCCTCTATTAATGAAAGCTAACACACCATACGCCTTCTTAACAACTCTATCCACCTGGGTGGCAGCTCTCAGGGAACTGTGAACATGAACCCCAAGATCCCTTTGCTCCTCCACACTGCCAAGAATCTTTCTGTTAACCCTGTATTCTGCTTTCAAGTTTGTCCTTCCAAAATGAATCACCTAAACCTACCTAATCCAATTCTTCTCTTCCTCGTGTATTCCACTTTCCTCAGACATCTCATAGAAACTTAGAAAATAGGAGCATTCAAGCCTGCACCACCATTCAATATGTTCAAGCAATTTCAGTATCCCACTCCCCCTTTCTCTCCATACCCCTTGATCCCTTTCACCGCAAGGGCCACATCCAGCTCCCTCTTGAATAAATCTAACAAACTGGCCCCAACAGCTTCCTGTGGGAGAGAATTCCACAGGTTCACATCTTACTGAGTGAAAAAATTCTTCCTCATCTCAGTCCTGAATGGCTTACCCCTTATTCTTAGAGTGTGACCCCCAATTCTGGGCTTGCCAATATCGGGAACATATTTCCCACATCTAGCCTGTCCAATCCCATCAGGATTTTGTATGTCTCTACGAGATTCCCCCCTCATTCTTCTAAGTTCTCAATCAGTTTAGCCCTCCAATCCCCTACTCACTCAGGTATCTACTAGCTTCCCCTTAAATGCATCATCTCAACCACTCCCTACAGCAAGTATCAATTCTGACTGTGAGTGTTTTCACCAGGAAAATAAAATTCCCCTGAATTCCTTGCTGGATTTACCATTCCAGAAATCTTTCATTAGGTACAGCTCAAATCTACTTCTCTCGTTGTGAATCTGCATAATTCCATATCCTGGAGGGTGATGGACAACAGGATACTGAACAATTTAAACAGGAGTTAGACCGAATTGTAATTAGTAATGGGATAAAGGGTCATGGGGAGCAGTGGAGTTCAGGCCTGGATTAGATCAGACATGATTGTATAAAATGAGTGGCATAGGATCAAGGGGCTGAACTACCTATTCCTGTTTCTCCTGTTCTTAAAGTATAATAAGCTCCTTGAAAATTGAGCAGGTGAAGCAGTTTCCTCTCACCCACTGTCTCATCTTCTCTCTCAAGTTGCAGTCCCTCAATACAGCAAGTCCAGGAGATTCTGTGCTCAACACTGCAAGAGCAATTTACCATGTTAAGAAAGGTGTGGTCTGCAAGGCCTTTCATCTTGACTATTGAAAACTACAAAACCACGCACCATGGTATCCATCACCTGATATCCACAAATACTACTCAGCCAGAAATGGTCTCAGTGTTGGTGGGTGTGTGTATCTGTGTGTTTGGGGTTGGAGGGTGGAGTGTGGTATGTTGTGGGTCTGGGGAGGTGGAGAACAGTGTTGGAAAACCACATCAAGAATGGGAACACAGCTACATTCCTGCACTGCAACCTAGAAATGCTGAATCCAGCTCTGATTTTGTGCTAAGATCTACACTGATGTCTCAGTGCCATACTGAGGGCATACTGCATGGTCAGTGGTAGCATCTTTTGGATAAACTCTCACATCAACGCTCCATCTACTCTCTCAGGCTGATGTAAAAAACAACTCATGGCACTAATGTCAAAAAGGAGTATAGGAGGCTTCCTCAGTTTCTCGGCCAACATTTACCCCTCTCTCTATATCACTAGAAACAGGTTATTCACATTCTTCTCGATGGAAGTGGTTAAGAACAGTAGATACATGGGAATGCCACCACTTACAAGTTCCCCTCCAAGACACTCACCATCGTGACTTGGAAATATATCGCCGTTGCTTCACCGTCACTGGGTCAAAATCCTGGAATTCCCTCCCTTAGGGACAATGTGCGTCTACCTACAGCTGTGGACTGCAGCGGTTCAAGGCAGCAGCTCACTACCACGTTCGAGGGGCAACTAGGGATGGGCCACAAATGCTGGCCAGCCAGCGATACTCACATCCCAGGAGTAAATATAAACAAAAAGCTGGGCCTCCTCCACTGTCACAATGACGCCATCTGGAAACTGGAGGAGCAGCACCTCATATTCCGCCTTGGGAGCCTACAGCCCAATGGGCTCAATGTGGACTTTACCAGTTTCAAAATCTCCCCACCCCCCGACCTCATCCCATGACCAACCCTCCCTCTCATCCCCGCCTTCTTGACCTGTCTGTCTTCTCACCCACCCCCATCCACTCCTCCCACCTCACTGACCAATCCCCACCTGCACTCACCTATCGCCATCCCACCTACCTTCCCCAGCCCCACCCCTCCTCTCTCTATTTATTTCCCAGCTCCTTTCCCCCCTCCCCCATTTCTGAAGCAGGGTCAGCTTTCCTGCTCCTCTGATGCTGCCTGGTCTGTTGTGTTCATCCAACTCCGCACCTTGTTATCTCTGACTCCAGCATCGGCAGTCCTTACTATCTCTAAACAAAAAACTGGTTGTTAGCACATTGTGGGAGCTTGCTGTGCACAAATGCTGCATTTCTGACATCGCAGCAACCTTTGAGATGTAGTCACCGCTGCAAAGTGCAACAATCTGGGAGACAATGAAAGGTGCTTTGTAAATGCCAGGTCTTTCTTTTTGCAGCTTCCTTATTCTGTATTAAGATCAAGCAACCAGCACTGCCCAGGGGTTGAATCTAGGGTTTCCTGGACAGGGTAGTTTGGCATTGCACCGCTTGTTAAACCTAACCACGCCTTCTTCAATTACTTCATGAATGAATATTGTCCAGTCTAGCAAGAATGTTCCAAGCTCTTCCAGTTGGTTTGACACTGGAGACAGCTCATTATTTATAAATAACAATTCCCCAGAGAGATGTACTTCACAGAACACTGTCAAACTATTAAATCACAGAATGCACCAACGAGACATGCTTAATGTCCAGCCCGCATTATCCTCCTCAGCTTATCTGACTGTGTGTGTACCACAACAACTTTCAGGAGAGATTGGATAGGTACCAGGATCGGCCACACACAACCAAGGCTGCTATAGAAAGCAAAAGGGAAATAAAGAATTGCATTTATATAGCGCACTTCACCACCACCACCAGACACCTCAAAGCACTTTGCAGCCAATAAAGTAGTTTTGAGATAGTAGGAACTGCAGATGCTGGAGAATCTGAGATAACAAGGTGTAGAGCTGGATGAACACAGCA